TTTCTTTTTCCAGAAAAGTCATGTGGTCCTGCCCCAGAAATTCCCAATGCTTCACTGGAGGAAGAAGATAGAGAACTGGAATATGATTCTGGAAAAATAATAAATTATATATGCAATCATGGATTTGATACTAAAGAATCTACTAGAAAAACATGTACAAGAGGAAAATGGGTAGGATCTTTCACTTGTAAAGGTACAGTAATTTTATTTTTGATCTTCTCAAGGTAATTGTTTTCAAACAACACTGTCGAAAAGTGATGCTTAAAGAAAGAGACACAACTTGCTGTCTTACTCTTTCAATCTATGCAGACTCAGACAAACAGGCATTTGTTGTTCCAGAGATTGAATGAATCTTTACATTATATGGGCAAAGAAGGCTAGATTAAATTAACCAATGGAAGCATTATTGGAACTGATCAACATCTGAACAATTTTGTAACTTTAGCTGGCCTAATGTTGATAATATATTTTGTCCTAATTTATTTTTGGCCTATACTCTATCTCTCTTGAATCACTTCAGAAAATTGAAGTTTTGTATCCTCTATCTATTTAGATGCAACATGTCCCACACCCCATCCAGTTGAAAATGCTGAAATTGTTGAAAATACAATGAAGAAGTACCTGAATGGCGAGAAAATAAATTATCAGTGTAATGATGGTTTTGATATATCTGGATCAGCTGCTGTAACATGTAGACAAAATAAGTGGTCACGCTTGCCAAGATGTGTAGGTAGGAATGTATGGTCTATATTTTTGCTGAGATTCACAACATTCACATGGAAAGTACATTTTTTTTAAAAATTCAAAAATGAAATATTATTAATCTGAACCATTCACCCCAACATGAGCTAATCCTGTATCATTGCTCTTAGTTTTTCTGATTGACAAATTGATAAACCTATGGGCATTTTGATACACTCATTATTTTTCCACTCATCCCCAATTGCCCAACTTCCAACCCATAGGCCCCCATTCCCCCTCAGGTGGCCAGCAAAAAGGAGCAAAATATACCCTTTAACTAGTCAGGAAAAAAATTAAGTTACAACTTAATTGCAGGACTACTCTTCAGAATAATTATAAAGGATGGGGAGACTCTTGCCAATGGTAACTGGTATCTTGAGCTCTAGAGGGTGGAGACATTGAGGGTTGGGAGATAGAGCGATGCTGAACTTCCTCCAATGGGAAAGGTCTTCTTTTCTGTTCAAGAAGAAATGTTTTGGTAGCATTTCCTCTGCTTCAGCGCTTCCTAATCAGAGGGTGGAGGTGTCAGACTAGATATCCAGTCTATGTGAGGTCATGAGGGATAGCTTTTAGATTAATGCAATTTTTATGTCTGGAAATAGTACTTATGGTTGCCCTGCCTACCTTGAATGATCAAACCTCTTTGCTTATTTATTTTTCCTTCACTTCTACCCCATCACAATCTAGAGTCTGTTAGCTGCTCATGTAGAATATAAAAACCAAATATCACATCCTCAATATAATCAACTGTAAAAATAGTAAAACAGAGCAGATTAAGTAACCTTTATCTTAATCTATTCTCTCTCACCCAAATCTGATAGTTTCTAAACATCAGCAAAGGTTACTGAGACCATCTCCCTCACAGCCTAGGGTAGAGGATTACAGTTGCATGCTCCATGATTGGATTGGATTGGAAGGGAAAAGTCCAGAATAGTTCATCATGCAGAGAGGTTCATTAGACAGCTTCTTTTCTCCATGTAGTTCATAGAAGGATTTAAATTTCTTGCAGGATATCCAGTTTTCAATACAACATTTCAGAATTGCTCTAATACACAATTATCAACTATGTATCTGCATTGTATTCTTCTTTAGCTTTTACAAACAAAATTAGAGGATACAGGTTCTTCCACCCTCCAAGTTAACTATCATCATACAAAAGAAGTTTCAGAGAAAATTATTTACACAAACACA